CTATGAGCTACTTAATATTCTTTGAATGCTTTTTTTTTTTCCTGTTTAAAACACCCAGGTTTGGTTTTTGTTGCTTGCAGTTAAGAATCCTGGTGCGTAAGTAGGAAGAAGACAAATCCTCTCACTTGGATAGGGTTTCTGCCAGCAAGATTTGCAGTTTAAGGAACACACTTTGCATTAACAAAGTATGGCAATAAGTGATAGCATATATTTGCTCGTGCTATCGTATATTCTACTTCTATTAGCCGGTGTTCTCCAAATGTATACATACATACATATGTATGACAAATTGGGTCACATGATTATGGAAGCTGAGAAGCTCCACAATCTGCTGTCTACAAGCTGGAGACCCAGGAGAGCCAGCAATGTAATTCAGCATGAATCCAAAGGCCTGAGAACCAGGGTTGCTGATTAAATCCCAGTCCGAAGGTCAAAGAAGACAAGATGAGATGTCCCAACTCAAGCAGGCAGCAAGCAAAAGGGGTAGATTCCTCCTTTCTCCACTTTTTCTTCTATTCAGGCCCTCAATGCACTGGATGAGGCCCTTTCACATTGGGGAAGGCCATCTACTTTATTCATAACCTTTCCCTTGGTTGTACTTTTAAATTCCCTCTTTAATTCATTTCAACATTAAACATAATTAAATTATATTTGGTAGGTAATAATAACAATATTTGCTGCTTCTACTTGTTGGGATTTGTTTTCTTGTGTGGTTAGAGTCTTTTTTTGATTTTGTTTTTTTTAATTGTGAGTCATGTTACTTGAAACTCTGAGAATCTTTGAGGTCTGGGTTGAATGGCATTCTTCAAGAGAGAGTTGGGGTTTGCTTCTTCCAGGCACCTATAGGTCCTAACAATCCAGAAACACTTTAAATTTTCATCTTGGAGTATTTGAGGATACACAGATAAGGTGAGTATGTTGCTAGGTGAATGCATATTAGTGGAGGTGTGAGGCAGAGAATTCTCAGGAGAGACAGTTTTTTGTTTGTTTATTTTTTATTTTACCCTGATCCAAGGCTAGGACAAGACAGGACCACATCCCCACTGTCTCTCTAGTTTGGCAGGGTTATTTTGTTTGTTTGTTTTAGTTTACTCATTGCCCACTGAGGATATTAGTGGTTTTAGGGCTTAAGGATTCTCAATCTTGTCTTCAGATTTTATTTCCTGTATTCAGGTTAAAGATCCTTCACCTCCATGTCCCATGAAAACATAGGTACTAGGTCATTAGGGACCCATACATGCCCCCAGGGCAAGTAGGGCTCTCACAATCACTTACTCCTACAGATTCCTTACCTGCCAGCCAAGATCAGGTATGATTTAAAAATTCTTTTTCTTTATATCTTATCTAAGTTTTTTTTTTTTTTTTTACTTCTGCTGTACTGGGTTTTCTGTGGATGGTTAGTATGTCTTTTTTCCTAAACAGAATCTCTATTTTTAAAATTCATACTAAATCTCAGAAGGAAAGCTAATTTATTGGGAAACATATTTTTCAGCTTTTCTAATACATTTAGGAGAGAATTCATCATTTGGGAAACATTCTTAGGGAGTCTGGAATAATGCAGGTAATTTTATGCAGCCTAGATTATATATGGCACCTGAGACCTCGGAGCTGTCTCAGGTGGTCACTCTGCACACCTCCAGTGACTCACCGACCGTTTTACCACCCACCATGGATTATGATTCAGACAGGGAGCTTGTTGGCTAGAAGCCACAGAGACATAACTTGACGCTTGCTGGTGGCTAGGGAGCCTCCGCCTGCTAAAGGAGGGAATCTTATCAATACTCCCTAGTTCGAAAGTTCAGCAAACATTTATTGTTTCATACTTTGTATCATATTTTGAGCATAACTGCATGGGTACAAAAATGAAATAGAGAAGGTTATTGCTCTTAAAGGATTCATACTA